GAGAGAGAGAGAGAGAGAAGCAGCATGCACATAGGAAGCAACATGCACAGGTTTGGGGATATGAAAAAACCCCTAATCTGGTTTTCTTTTAAAGTTTTTTTTTAAAGCTTTTATATTGATTTTGTGATCTGGAATTCTGGAGGCTCTTTGAACCCTATTTTGGATTGAATTTTTGGTGGAATTTTGTAAAGCCAAAATTTGGGAATTTTTTATTCAATGGTTTTCATTCTTGTTTATTCTACTTTGATTCTAATTTGTGATAATCTGGATGGTTTGAGCCCTAATTTATAATAATCTGGATGGTTTGAGCCCAATTTATGATAATCTGGATGGTTTTATGCCATGAGTAGTATTTCCATAATAATCACAAAAATCTGCGTCTATTTTAGAGTTTTTTTTGAAATAATATTTTTTTTAGAAAGTATGAAAATAACAATATACAAATTAGGAAAAAAAAAATTATCTTTCAAAAAAAAAATTTACGGGTAAAAAGAAGGATACGATTTTTTTGGTCCAGTTTAATTCATTTTTCTTAAAATCGCGTTTTAAACGTTTTTTTGCTGAACTTTTCAAAAAGGCAACGTTTTAAATGTTTTCCATAAAAACACCATTTTTTTGAAAAAAATGCGTTTTAAACGCCGATTTGCTGACTATGGTGACCCTATAACACTTACCTATGGATGTGTGTGTGCGTGTGTGTTTTCTTTGTGTATGGTAAATGATGAATTATACATGTCTTCAAATTTAAGAGTCATTGTAGAAAAGGTAGTTTACATCCATACATTGTACCTAAGCAGGCACATCGAGGTGGGGTGATGTAGGGAAGAAGGGAGAAAGAAACCATAAAATAGAAAAATAAAAAAATAAAGGGTGAGAAAACATGCCCTCTTAAGATCGGCAGAGGAATCCACCCCAAAAAGATCTTTTCACATTTTTCAAGATAAATTCTTATTATTCTCCTTTTTTGTCCAATACTTGTATATTTATTGTAGGAAAACCTTAAAACCTAACCATCTCCCTAAGAAATCATAACCACAATTAAACTATGTTCATTCATCTCGTTAAAATTAAACTTCGAACTTTACCCCTCTATTCTCTACAACTAAAAAAGACACAAATATATTAATATAAATTAATAAAAGACCATAAAATCTAAAACTAAGTTTAGTATCTAAAAAACATTAGTAACAGAGAGAAATAAAAGCTCATTACATCATTCTTTTGGGGTTGGGAGAAGCTCAACCTTGAGCTTGTTATCTCCATTGCATCCTTCAAGGTCCACTTGATGAAGTCCCACTACCCGGGTAGTTTGTCGTCGTTAGTGAACTAAGTAATCCAATACTTAGGAGCCGTTTGACCACAAAATTTTGTCAAATGGTAAATCTTTTCAAATTGCAATTGACCAAATGGAAAATTGGTGAATTTGTATTTGTTCTCTATGGGTGCTTGATTGTTACAATTCGAAATATAAATTTTTATTGTGGTGTGATGGTGCTGGTGGTGGTAATAGTGATTGTATGATGGTAGTGGTGGAGCACGTAAAGTGGTGGTGGTGGTGGTAGTGGTGGTGGAGTTGGAGTGGTTGTGGTTGTGGTGTTAGGTAGGCAGGTGGGTAGGTCGTGGTAGAGTGGTGGTAGTGCTGTGATGGTGGTCGCTGCTGGTAGGCAGTGGTGGTGGCAGCTAGGCGGTTGTGGAGTGGTGGTAGTAGAGTGGTGGTGGGTGTCTTGGTGGTGTTGGAGGCAGTTAAGCGGCGGTGGTTGTGGTACAGTGGTGGTGGTGGTGGTGGCGGCAGCTGCGGTAGTGGTCGTGGTGGCAAAATGGTGGTCCAATGGCAGTGATGGTGGGGTAGTGGTAGTGGCAATGGTGATGGTGGTGATAGAGGGAGAGTGAGAGTGAGAGTGAGAGTGAGAGCCAAATTGAATTTTTTGCAAAATAACTTGTAGTTTTGCAAAAAAATTGAAGTTGGGGGCCTAGTTGCAGTATAGAATCAATTCCAATTTGCAAATCAAAGAACCCTCGAAGCCAAGTTGCTAGTGAGAAATTTTCAAATAAGCCCAATTGCAATTTAGCCAAGAAGTCCGGTAGTGCCTTAATGTGCAACTTGCAGCAGAACTTTGGGATGGTGCACACATTTTTTATTTTTCTTTTGGGCCCCTCATGAAATGTAGGAAGATCGACCTTGTACTGAGATCAAGTGGACATTCGTCAGGTCATGGTTCTTGGCTCAATTTGCTCATACACATGAGATTGGCGCTTGCAATCGATCATGGTGCTTGATTCATCCCTAGGGTGAGAGTTGGTGCCAGATCTATGGGATTATGAGCAACCTCTTGTCGGTGATTGATAGTTTCGAATCGTTGATTTCACAAATATCTCCTTGAAGTTTGTGGATCTTGACTTTAATACCTTCCATGGATTAATATATGCCTATGCCCCCTTTGATTTGTTGATTCACATCCTCCATGATTTATAGCAATATATCCTCTATTATAAGAGCAAGTTTTGGTGGCATCATGATGGATGATCTTTTTAAACTCGGATATGAATTGATGTAAGAAGGGAGAAAGAAAATGAAGCAAATTAGACAAAAACAAAAAATTAAATAAAGGGTGAGAGAATATACTCTCTGAGGGTCTGTAGGAGAGTCCACCCTAAATAGATCTTTTCATATAACCCAAAATAAATTCTTCTGTATTCTCCCTTTTTCCAACACTTACATATAGAAAGAAAACCTTAAGACCTAACTTGCTCCTTAAATAATCATAACTATAATTAAATCCAATATACTCATTTAAAATTACCTTCAAAAAATACCCCTTATTTCTCTACAACTCGAAAATACACAAATACCCTTAAACGAATAGAAGACCATATAACCTAAAACTAATTTTAGTTTTAGACACCTTGCCTCAGCCAATGTGGCTCGCCCCCAGCCGGGTATATCATGTCTCAGCCGAGGTGCCCTTCTCTGTTGCCCATGGCCTGAGGACATAAATTGCCCCCATTTTACTCATTTTTGTGACATATAGAATGCCTGTATAGTGGGTCGCGATTTGTATACTTTAACTACTTAATGAAAACAAACATTACCATCTGAAAAGAGGAAAGGGGAGTTAAAAAAAAAATGGTTCGAAGGTTCGGGGTGGGAGATGGTGAGCTTCGGGGGGTGCATTCTAATCCTCAAACTATTTCTAGAACTATTTTGATAGAGAAAAAGTCAAATTTGGAGTTTCTTTATTTTCTTTTTTTTTTTTGAGATCGAAAAGATCCAAAAGTTTGAGAAATTTTTAGCTCTAATTTTACAATTGGATGGTAATAAAATGGATGGTTCATTTTACTATCCAGAAATTCATTTTGGATATGCCATTTCTATTGTCTTCACTCTTTGTAGTTGTTATTTTAAGCTTACATTTACTAATTTACAATTGTGAAATATAATTTTTGCATGCGTTTGTGTGTGTGTGCGTGTGCATGTGTGATGACTCTTGTCACACCTATGCTGCTCAAATCTATACTTTTAGAACCTGATATCTGTAATATTTGAAGTTTTGAACCATCACCTCTTCAACATATTTGTAGTAGCTATACATTAATTTTAGTTTACAAAATTTGTTAGATTGATGACCTTTTTATTAAGATGCATTTACACGAGAGACAGAGAGAGAGAGAGAGAGAGAGAGAGAGAGAGAGAGAGAGAGAGAGAGAGGAGGAGGGTAGGTAGGTAGTAGTACGTACGTACGTAATAACTTAATTAATTAATTAACTTAACTAACGTAACGTAACTAACTAACTAACTAACTAACGTA